TCTTTTTAACCCCGAAGCCCTAAAGCATGTGAGCCCAAAACCCTAGAATCTTGAGCCGGGTAAGCTGCTAGGATTCCTACAACTGCGAAGCTCCGTAAAGCTACACATGTAATCTCTTGAACACCTGACCGCTTGCCCACACCCTGAACCCACGAAACCTGACAATCTTCAACGCAGGAGGCATGTAAGCCTATACACTCCGTAACCCTACGCCCAGAAAGTGTAAAGCATTATAGAACCCCTTATAGTTATAAGACCCGATAAAGCAAGGCCTGTTTATGAAGTCGTGATAACAGTCCTTGTGACGCCGAGGTGCTGAAGGCCATGGGACCGCTTGCTGGAGCCTTCGAAGGCTTGCGGGGTGAGTGTAGGAAACTTCAGAATAAGAACGGTGATGTTGGGGATGCTTTTTACGGAAATATATTGCGCAGGGATCGTACCAGTTCTTCGGGCCTTTGTCTGTGCTTTTCGAGCTTGGGACGCGGGGGCTTGGGTCTTGGGGTTTCGAGGTCGGAGCTACAGTGCAAAGGACAAAAGGCCCATGAGCGCTCTGGCTCCAATCTGGAGCCAGGTCTACACCCGTAAAGAACTGCTGAGCTTAGGTCTCACAAAAAACCACCCTGTGCCGGGAACTGCAAGGCGGAGAGCCCTAGCCGCGACAAACCCTTGAGACAAGAAGAGCTCAACGAGAGCTGCAAGCTTCTTCGCACGGTTTTGCATCCAAAAATGGCCTACGGCTCAAGCTCGGGTTCCTTGCTTCTTCGGTGGTTTTCGCGACTTCAGAGATGCCTTCGCCGTCGCCTGGGTGTCTTAAACCAGCTTTCTTCTCCCACAAAGTGTGGGATGGGAACGGGGAATCGGCTTTAGAGATGCTGGGACTTCAATTTCAACATCTGGTTCCGATGTCGGACAGCCCGCGGAGCGGCAGAGCGAGATCGTTTGACAGCGCTTGGTGTCAGATGCGCGCGCTCTTCACGCCGACGCCGAGGGGGGTCTCCACGGTGTGGGATGCCGCCGGCATCCCACACTGTGGAGACCTCGCTGCTCGTCGCTGTCGGCGTGAAGACTGGCAGAGCGGGATCGTTTTACTGCGCTTGGTGTCAGATGCATGATCCACTGTGTGGGACGCCGGCTTCGAGTTCTTCTTGCAGCCCCCACCCTCCACTCTGCGACCTTTCCGCCACTGTGCCGCAAGAGCGGCCCGAGAATGGCCCCGAGTTGCATTGGACCAACCCTTGCGTGCCATTTCGATTGAAGATGCTTTCTGGAAGGCGGCCAAGCTCTCCACACTTTCGAGTTCATGGCGCGAGGAAGGGTTGCCGGATGCTCCCAAAAAGGTATCCGAAATGTCGGACCCTCTTGAACCTACAGTGCTGCCTCGATTCGAAGCAGTACTCTGTAGGTGCGGGAGGGAACACTGCGATCTGCCGTCGTCGTACTCCGTTTCCGAGCAGCGGGCACTGCCTTGAGCACTGCTCATCCCAATGGTGCGGGCCATGCAGCAGTTGTTGCAAGGTCACTCTTTGTATGTTGATGTCTCCTTCTCAACAAAGAGTAATAGGTCAAAGCCGATCCATGATAAGTGTATGCGGCGGGACGTAGCTTGCCTGCTGCTGCTTCAAGGAGGCCATGGGATCCTTCTTTGATCATCAGTGTGATCGAAAAAGGATCCCAGGGCCTCCTTGAAGCGGCAGCAACTGCCCAGAAGCTTGGTCAGCGTTACAGGGATCCTACAGCATCCTGCTTGCTCGGTGGGGAGCTTATGGGAGCCCGTAAGAAGTATCTGCTCCACAACAAGGACCACGGAACTGCTCCAAAGCCGTTTGTGAATCTCAACGGCCAGACTCTAGACTTTCTGCTGTTGGCGTAAACCGCTCCGTAAATCTACAGGTTTCATTACCGGCGCAGAGCCTGCTGGCGTGTGGCAAGGTTACTCTGCGACGCAGACGCGGAGCCTAGCACACGCCGCAGTCATTGCCGTCGGTCCGTCGGTCTTGGCCAGGTCGCAGGAGCCTTCAAGACACCTTTTCCTTTAGGGAAACGCCGCCCTGCAGCCGATGGGAAAGTGCAGAAGTCCAAACGGAGACGCCGCATTAAAAGCCTACAATAGTGCTGCACGCGGAGATGAGTTCTTGGCGTCGTTCCCCTGGACAGCAATTACAAGCCCGCAGTCCTTGATCCTTGCGAGGCCTTGGTCCCTGCTGCAGCCGGCGCTGGCAGCCTTGACGCAAAGCTGCGAGGCTGAGGGGTTCTAGGTCGGTTTGAGGGTCATTGGGGTTTTCGTCCGTTTTATTCGGACAGGTCTCAAGACGGGTGCAGGGCTTTAGGTTGTATAGGGGTTTTGGCGGGTGTTTTTCCACACAATGAGCGCAGGGTGCAGGCTTTACATGAAGAGTTCAACTCCAGCTGCAAGCATGTTCTAAAGGTAGAGCAATCCTAAATGGCTTACGGCTCAAGCTGGAGCTCAGAGGTAGCCTAGCAGTGCTTCTGGGTTTGCTTTCACGACGACTTCGATCGAACATGCCTACACCTTCCCTTGGTGGTCGGGAGCCACCTGTCCACAAAGTTGCCCGAGATCCAAGGACTTCCACAACGTCTGAGTCCGATTTCTACACCGCCTGGTGTCGGATGTATTCGTACGAGCTCTTCACACCAACGACCAGCGAGGTCTCCACGGTGTGGGACGCCGGATCCTTTCACCCACCCCCTCCGCCGCCTCCTCCGCCCCGGCACCGACGTTCTTCGCTCTGGGATGTGTCCGCCACTGTGCCGCAAGAGCGGCCCGAGAATGGCTCCGAGGTTCATTGGAGCAACCCTTATGGGCCCGACCCGCCAGCTCAGGTGGCACCTCCTGCTGCGGAGCCGGTGATTGAAGATGCTGTCCAGAAGGCGACCAAGCTCTCCGAGCTCATGTCGCGAGGAAGGTTTCAGGCCTGATAGCACCTTTGAGGATGACATGTCGGACCCATGTAGCTCCACTCCCCCAGTGGAGGAGCCGGCTTTCGCAGCCTTGGCAAACCTGCGCGTGTGTGCAGAAATGCCGGGCGCACCAGAATCCTTTACATTGTCCGAGTACTACAGCAGACAAGGCCCCTTGTCGCCGTGCTCCCCGGCCCCAACGGAAAACTACGGCGGACGAGAGGCGCGGTTTTCGCCAGCACGTACTGAGTACAACTACGGCAGACAGGGGGTGTTATCTCCTGCGCCCACAGAGTATGTCTTCGACCGAGAGGCATGGTCACCAGCGTCCACGCAAATCGGAGCTCCATTGCCCGAGCACGGCGGACAGGGCTTGGCAGGAGGTTTCAGCCCCAGACTCCCACCGGGAGTGCCAATCAAACCTGACGATTTGCTGCATGAGCACAACGACTGTCCGTTTGGGATGCCACCTCCGGATGACAGCACTGCCCACCGGAATCGGCCTCACTTCTGCCAGGACCCAAAT